AAGTATAGTTGTACATATTATACATATATGAATAAAATATGGATGCTCATGGCAAAATGTGTATAACTGATAAATTTAGGTAAAGGGCATATGACTATTCATTGTGCCATTCTTTGAACCTTTCTGTAAATTTGCAAAATAAAGAGGGGAAGGATGTTTTATAGCATGTTTAAGGTAGTAATATTCTAAGCTGGGGTAGTATGACTCAGCCACATATGTATGTGTGTACATAGTAAGTACACACACACACACACACATGACATTCCAACACGTGGTAATTAGTTCATTGCTGATATCTATCTATATATAAGCTAAAAAAATTCCAGATGTAAAATTGGGCCAGGTCGGCGGGGAGGTGTGATGTTCAAGGATTTTCTGCTCCCAAATGTCTTGTGGGCATGTATCTGTTCCTGGCCATGACCTGGCTTCCCTCTCATTACTTCCAGTAACTCCATTATAAACTACTTCCAAACAACTCACACTTTCCAAATGAAGTCCCCTCGTTCATGCCATTTCCTCAGCCTAAAACACTGTTCTCATTATTTTGCTAGTCAAAATCATATTTAATATCAAAGGCTTCATTCAAATTCTCCTTCCTCGTTGAAAGTCTTTTCTAGACCAATACCTTTTCCTTCCAACTGGAAGCAATCATTTCCTGCTGTGTGGTACATATACCTCTCTTAAAATACACATCCTACTCTTACTTGTGTTGTGGTCTCTATGTACCAACTCATTCCCCAGGGAGGGGCAGTTCTGTTTATCTCCATTGCATTGGATAAAGCCCAGATTTCTTAGAATAATGCACAAGGCCAAGGCTCATATTACTCAGTTCCTCCTTTTTCCTTTTTTAGCCTTCTGACATGACACTGCTGTCCTGTCAGCAGCATGTGGCAGGTCTCAGTAGAGGTTCCATCTCTTCCTACTGGCTTAGATTTGTTGCTGCTCAGGTACAAAGTTGTGTTTAGTAAAGCAGTAAGATCATATGCCAAGGCATGAGCCCAGTGACACCCCTTGCACCCTGTCTTGCTATTAGTCAGCTTTCCCATTTTTGAGACACAGTACCCAACACCACAACTTGCAAGAGGAAAGGTTTGATTTTGCTAACCTTTTAAGGGGATTCAGTCCATGGTCAGCTGGCTCCAAGGCAGGAACATCATGGCAGAAGGGCATGGCAGAGCATGGCAGAGGATGCAAAGCTGCTTAGTTTATTGTGGCTGAGAAGCAGAGTAGCAGAACACTGCCAGAGAGAGATGGGTAAGAGACTATATACAGTACCCAAGGTCACCCCTCCATGACCCAGCCAGACACACCCAGAGGTGTGCTGCCCCAAGTCCCTTGGGCAGATCACTAACCACCACAGTCTTCTACGTCTATAACAAAAATATACGAAAATTTGGCCACTTCCATATTCATCTTGGACAGAAGGACTCTGTAGGAGTACTTGCTGGTTTTTATTTACAGAATTATTAAATCAGTCATTCAACTTTTGAAACAAAATCTTTAATTAAGATGAAAAACTCACCAATTTATGCAATTCAGATTTTTTAGTGTATTTACAGAGTTGTGTGTCTGTCACCACCATCTTAATTCCAGAACATTTTCGTCACTCAGAAAAGTGACCCCTTTCCATTAGCAGTCACTCCTATCTCTGCCCCACCAACCAGTCCTAGGGAACCAGTAATCTATTTTCTCTTTCTGTATATTCACCTATTCTGGACTTTACATATCAGTAGAGTCCTACAATATGTGGCCTTTTGGTCTGGCTTCTTTCACTTAGGACGTTTTTAAAGTTCATCCATACAATAGCATGGATCAGTACTTCTTTTTATTATCAAGTAGCACTTTATTGCATGGATACAATGTATTTTATTTACTCTTTCATCAGTTGATAGACATTTGACTTATTTCTACATTTTTCTATTATGAGTAATATTGCTGAGACATTCATGGACAGGTTTTCATGTGGACATCAGTTTTAATTTCTCTGGGTTTAAAACTAGGAGTATAATTGCTGGGTCATAGGGTAATTCTGGGTATATTCATACTATAGGATAATGAGATTTGTTATGGTTTATTGGTACATGTATATAACATATTTTTATTTTCATTTCCATCATTTCCCTCCTTTTCTTCCCCTTTACCCTCATCCCCTTCCCAGTCTCTAAAAGACTACCTTCTACTTTCCTGTCCTCGCTCCTTTCTTTATTTTTATTTATTTTTAGACTGCTTATGTAAGAAGAAGCCTGTGATTTTTAACTTTCTGAGATTGGCTTGATTTGCTTAACATGGTTGTCTCCAGTTCCATCTATTTTCCTGCAAATGAGGTGATTTCATTCTACTTTATGACTGAATGTTACTCCATTGTGTATACAGTTCTTTACCCATTCATCTCTTCATGTGCATGTAGGCTGCTTCCACAGCTTAGATGTTGTGAATTGTGCCACTATGAAATGGGTTTGCAAGTATCTCTATAGTAGGCTGTCTTTAATTCCTTTGGAAATAGACCAAGGAGTGGCATAGCTGGAACAAATGGTATGTATGCCTATTTTTAGCTTTTTGAGGAATTTGTGAATTTTCCATAATGGTTGTACTAATTTACATCCTGCCAACAGTGTAGGAGGGCTCCTTTTTCCCACATCCTCACCAGAATTTTTTTTTCCATTTTTCCCCCACCCGGAATCAAACTCAGGACCTTGATCTTGCAAGGCAGGTGTGGTGCCACTGAGCTAAATCTCTGGCCCTTTTTTTGCATTCTTGATGATACCCATTCTGACTGGCATGAGATGGAATCTCAGTGTAGTTTTGATTTGCATTTCCGTACTAGCTAAAGATGTTGGACATTTTTTCATA